ACCCCGTTTTACGGTACTTGGTATAAAATCTGTTATATTTAAATTTTATAAATAAATTTTGAAAGTTTCTCGGGAGAAAACGATTATAATATTTTAGCAACGATTTCTTAATTCGCTAAAAAATTGTCAACACAAATAACCACAATTGAATTGCCGGAATGCACAACCGACGCAGCGTGGGGCCAGTAGGCTACTGCATGGAGACCGTTCAATTTCAACAAAATTCTTTAAATTAAACTCGCGATAACTCCTTAACTAAACGTGCGATTTTTATGAAATTTGGACAGAATACTTAGATTGGTACAGCGATGCTATTAAAATAAAAAATACAAAATTTTAACCACAATTAATTAATAAATGCATCAATATTATTTAAGTCATAACTATGCTTAAACTAGTAGATGTTTATAAATTATATACATATACAGGGTGTCCCAGAACTCGCGCCACAGAGAAAAAGGGGGCGTGCCGATAGCAATGGAGATGCCAAATTTAAAAATAAAAAATTTCTAGGTAATAGTGTAATCGAATTAGAGCAAAAAAGCGGCAGCCAATACCGAGAGATTTCGCCTAGGTTAAACGTAGGAGCTTTAAAAATTGCTAGGAGACGATATAACATTGTTGTATTAAAAACATTTAAAAATCTTTTGGCCAACTGTATTTACTAAGTTGTCAAAAGCTTTCAAAAAATGAGGTTATTAATCTATGACTGATACTTCAGAACGCCAATGTTTTAAAGTAAAAAATCAAACCAGTTGTACTTTATTTAGCTTTTTTTGCGCCCACGCTCTCCATAAATAGTTATCATTTCGGTATAATCATGAAGGAAAACATTATTTATAATAACTTAATTTATTACCTAATATAATATTAATGACAAAAGTAAAGATTGACAGCATTGTCAATAATAACTTATAATTATAATTATAATTTATAACCTAATATAATATTAATGACAGAAGTAAAGATTGACAGCAGTGTTACAATGAATTGGATTCCAGTGGACCAAATATTTTACATATTTTTTATTATCAACAATGCAACCTAAGTATCCTAGCAATTTAAAGAATTCCCTGTGGTGATCTATTGGGATTGGCTATCGTTTTTTATTCTTATCTTCCTTATCCTTTGCGTTGGACAATTTGAATTTTTAAATATGTGTTTCAAATTACTTTCGGTACGTTCCCTTTTTCTCTGTGGCGCGAGTTCTGGGACACCCTGTATATATATGATTTTTTTTCTTGGTAAAATAAAGAAAATTTTCTGCGAATTTGACAATTATTAATAAATTATTATATATAATAATTTATTATATAGCCGTAATACTAATAAATAAGAGAGCCTACGGCGGCGTAAAAAGCTTAATTGCAACAAATCATTTATTATCAGTAATTATTACTAAATGTGTTTATATTGCACACTGTTCACTGTACAATATAAAACAGGAATTTTATTTTGAAATAAAATTATTACCTTATCTTTTAACTTTTAGCAACATTTGGTTTCCACAAATTATTATTCTTCGATGTTTTTCGTCCGAACAAATCGGACGAAAAAGATCGAAGAATAATAATTTGTGGAAACCAAATGTTGCTAAAAAGTTAAAAGACTTATTTATTTATTTATTCTTTTACAAACACAATATAATATTAATTACAACATGTCAATACCCTAAACTTAATCCTAATACTTATGTAGTATTAGGCTATGTAGGATTAAGTTTAGGGTATCGACATGTTGTATATAATATTATATTGTGTTTGTAAAAGAATAAATAAATAAACATTACAATTAAAAAATATCTGGATATGCTTTACAGTGGTATTAAAAAAAATCAATATCACAGTTATCAATTAGATTATTGCACTGCACCAACATATAATTAAGCTGCGAACAGTCTTTTTTATTAGTATAAAACAGTATTTTATTAGTTATCCTTAAGTTAATCTTTGGCACTGAAAATTAAATATTATTAACAATATATAGATCTGGTTTCAACAAAAAATATAAAGAAAACAGCTTGCATATTTCTTCTTTCGAGGATTACAAAATTAAAATAATTTAACATATAGATTTCTTAGATATTTACATGTAACAAATTATAATGTATATAATGTATGTATCTATAGATACATATGATACCAAAAACCGGTATAAATTATATTCCTTACATGTAAATATCTAAGAAATCTTTTTTGTACTTTTTGAATGACATTACTATTACTTTCTGCTGTAGGTGACCAGATAATACAAGCATATTCAAGATGAAGCCTCACTAGTGCATACAGTATACAATTTAGTAAGGGATGAAATATGTTTAAAATATTTGGCATTTCTAAGTACAAAACCAAGTACCCTAAATGCCTTATTTAGGTACTATTGTATTGTAGGTAGAGTTGAATTTCATATTTAATTGCAATTTTACACCCAGATCTTTACATTAATGAATTCTGCTTAAGCTAATGTTATTTAGATTATATGTATATAAATTTATATTTACGTGTGTGTTATAGTTGCACACTTTTCTACGTTAGGAAACATCTTATTTACTTGAAGCCATTCTGATACATAGTCTAGGTCTTTTTGTAACATTTCGTTATCTTTTTCGTTGTTAATCTGTTTATATATTTAAAAATCAAATCAAATCAAACAGTAGCCAAGATGAATATTTAACACTTAGCGGTCAATTATTGATAAAAATAGCAAACAGTAGCGGCCCTAGGTAATTATTTTATTTCAAAATAAAATTCGTGTTTTATATTGTACAGTGTAAAGTGTTCAATGTAAACACATTTAGTAATAATAAGTAATAATAAAAGATTTGTTGCAAATTAAGCTTTTAACGTGATAAATCGAGTTTAGTTTCGATTCTTGTGCACTTTGTTGTCTTTACGCCGCCGCGCGCCGCAGCGCCCCGCGGGCTCTTTTATTTATTTGTATTACGGCTATAATAATTTATCAATAATTGTCAAATTTGGAGAAAAACTTTTTTATTTTACCAAGAAAAAATCCGTATATATATAATTTATAAACATCTACTAGTTTAAGCATAGTTATGACTTAAATAATATTGATGCATTTATTAATTAATTGTGGTTAAAATTTTGTATTTTAATAGCATCGCTGTACCAATCTAAGTATTCTGTCCAAATTTCATACAAATCGCACGTTTAGTTAAGGAGTTATCGCGAGTTTAATTTAAAGAATTTTGTTGAAATTGAAAGGTCTCCATGCAGTAGCCTACTGGCCCCGCGCTGCGTCGGTTGTGCATTCCGGCAATTCAATTAAAATTTGACATTAACACACTACAATGCGCATGCGGAGTTGTTTTAACGCACCTACAAGAGGTGAGTTAAATATGTAAAATCGATGTTAAATATCTTAGTAGGCACGAACGATTTACGCAAGTGAAAGTCTAGACACCGCTGTTGTAATAAACGTTTTGAGTTAAATCCGACATAGGCTTAAAATCGCGAGGTTTTTTACCACAACCGTACCTGAGCGCCCAAGAACATGTAGTTTTAAAGAGCCGGGGGCAAGTTGGGGCAGCTAATTTATTGATGGCTTGATAGACAAAACTCTAAGCTATTCAACGGATCTTGAACTGATGCCTTACAATTCATTACAATTTTTGTAGCTCCATTGTTCTAAAAGCTCGATTCAAAGTTTGCGATTTTAACAGACCGATCTTGTCGGTTACAATAACCCGTTGTACAAGCAAAATCTACGAAAAACAAATATATATCTGAATTTTAGATACCTTGAAGTTCACCCTTCATCAAACCGCATAACAATTGGACACACCAAACACAAGTTATTCACTTTTAAACAATAAACAATTTTCCGCAGCGATCGCGTGTAAACTGAAAGCGTCAAGTTTAAACTGAGGTACAAGACAAAATATACGTATTTTATATAATTTTTTTCAATACAGGATGGAGACAGGTATTAACTACCCATCTAACTCAAAATTTACCTGAAAAAAAATGTCAATTTTTGAGGTTTTGCCGATATTTTCCAGAATTGAAACACTGTGCGCTGGTTAAATTGAACAAATTTGTCTATTTTTTAAAGGATTTTAAATAAAATCTAAAAAATATTAGAAATTTTCAATATTTAAACATAGCTAGGAGCTTTTTATTTAAAATAACTTTTTTTATCTTCGCAAAAGTCCTGCTTCTGAAACCTAGATGTATTATAATAAACTATAGGGTGGGTCAAAAAAATCGACTATTTTTATTTTGACTTCTGCCACTGAAAAATCGGTTTCTGGGCACCTTCAAAACATGCTTAGCGACGATGAGCTCTTAACTTTGATAGGAAGATCGGCCTCATTACAGTTTTGCATATTTTTCTTAGTCCCCTACAAAAAAATTCATATCTCATCATTCGTTAATCATACAGCAAAACTCTAAAGGAGTTATTTGTAGAAAATTAAATGTTCTACAAAAAAATCTTTTATACTTTTTTGACCAATCTAACTATTAAAGAGATATTCAAGGTCAAAGATTGAAGAATTTTAAGAAAGATAACTTTTCTGTTCTGAATTTTGTAACTTACTGAAAAAAAATTATCGACAATTGAGGTTTTACTATGTCTATCGGAAATTGAACGCTCTACAAAAAAGGTCTCTTAGCATTTATCGATTACTCTAACCAATCAAAAGATATTCGCATTGGAATATCAGTGCACACATCAATTGCAAAAAGAGTTTTTAATTTAAAAAAAATATTGTTAGAAGCATTAATAAAAGAAAAAATTGTATCTTAATTTATCAAATTTTATCAAATTTTACCAGTACAAATACAAAAATATTTTTCTTAAATTTAATTATCATAATTGACTTTTATTACAGTTAGGAAATTTTGCTCGATGTTCTTTGACAACTTGCAGTAAATATTGAAACTGCTCTTCGTTTTTTGTAATCACTTATTGAATTTAGGCACCAACGCTACTCCACGCTCTGCTACGTCATTTACAACTTTCATTTGCTTGAAATATTATTCGTTTTCTTTATAACTCTCATTTGAAGTCCACAATTCAATATCAACATCGAGAAAATCATATGGTAGGTCAAAAATTTTGAACAAATTCAATGATTTTTGAGAAACAAAGTCACTTAAATCCTTTTGAATAATTGAATTTATGTTCTTGTGGTCAACCTCAAATCTCTTAACTTTGGAATCTATACCATCTCGAATTTTTACAGCTTTAACGATTTTCTTCTTCATATCGATTGGTACAGTATCATCGAACAGAGATAAAATCTCGTCATTCAAATACCACAAATGTGAAGTCATCTTCTCACAAGTTGCTGAAGAAATTGAAGGTTGGGTTGTTGAGTTTGGGTTGGTTTGGAGCCACCAGTGGCATTTAGCATCTCGTCGAATAACAAAACTACCAATATTTTAAATTAAATTTTGAGACAGAAAGTTTTTAATTTCAAATTTTGTAGAAAAAGAAATATGAGTTACATATTAGATAAGTAACATATTGAATAAGTTACATATTAGATAAATCCGTTAAAATAAATAAACGAACCTAAACCGTGATAAGAGTGAAATTATAGAAAAAAATTATTGTTAAGCAATTGATTGAAAGCAATACATTCTCAAACGAAAGATAAGACATAATTTGGGAACTGACATTTCATCAAGATGAACTTAAATTTTATGAATTATCTCAAAATTTATAAATTACACAGATGAATTGGAAAAAATTATTAAAAAACTATGAATAGCAGTATGCACTGACATTCCAATGTGAATATCTTCTGATTGGTTAGAGTAATCGATAAATCCTAAGAGACCTTTTTTGTAGAGCGTTCAATTTCCGATAGACATAGTAAAATCTCAATTGTCGATAATTTTTTTTCAGTAAGTTACAAAATTCAGAACAGAAAAGTTATCTTTTTAAAATTCTTCAATCTTTGACCTTGAATATCTCTTTAATAGTTAGATTGATCAAAAAAGTATAATTAATCTTTTTTGTAGAACATTTAATTTTCTACAAATAACTCCCTTAGAGTTTTGCTGTATGATTAACGAATGATGAGATATGAATTTTTTTGTAGGGGACTAAGAAAAATATGCAAAACTGTAATGAGGCGGATCTTCCCATCAAAGTTAAGAGCTCATCGTTGCTCTTGAAGGTGCCCAGAAACCAATTTTTTAGTGGCAGAAGTCAAAATAAAAATAGTCGATTTTTTTGACCCACCCTAATACTTATATATATATTTTAAAAACAAAAAGAAGTATTATGTTTGTTGTACTAAAGAAAATTAAGAGACCGTACCTGTAAATTCCAATCCTGCAAGCTTCCACGTTCCTGTCTTGGTGACCAGTATACTGGCAGGACAAACATTCCTGTGCAACACGTGACCGGAGTAGTGCAGAAAGGATAATGCCTCGGTGATCTGGAAAGCAAACATATTTCGGTCAGGAAATGCAATGTTAATCATTTTTAATGAATTTAATAGAACGTGCGGCTATGCTCAATTCACTACTAATCATAATTATTAGAATTTACGACTTATTATTTGGGTTACTAGGATTAATGGCCATGTGCACTTCTTAAACTTTTTAGTTCCCAATGAATTATATGGATGCATCGTGGATTATTTTTAACAATAATAATTATGTTACGATTAGGTTTAAATTTGTCATTAAAACTTAATACTTTCATTGCAATTTGATGAATTATGATTTTCATCAAAAATACTACAGAAAAATTGTTTTTTTTTTCAACATTTTACAATATTAAAGCTTTTCATTCATATCCAATAGACGTTACGATTAGGTTTAAATTTGTCATTAAAACGTAATACTTTCATTACAATTTAATGAATTATAATTTTTATCAAAAATACTATAGGAAAATTGTTTTTTTTTTCAGTATCTTACAATATTAAAGCTTTCCATCCATATCCAATAGGCGTTAGGTGATTTAAAGTATTAGGATCAAGCTCGATTATAATATGCATTAACTTTAAAGTATTTGGTTTAATTAATTTAACGACACGAAATGTAAATTGTCATTTTTTAACCGATTTTGGCCAACAATATTATCAACTAATTGTTTGTTGGTAAAATAGTTCAACATTAAAAATCTGGATGCGTGGGTATATTTTTAGGCACTTTAACGGAGAAGTTGTTACCAATTGTATCTTTGATTTGCGTTTTAAAGCTTCCAATTTGCTTTTGTTTAACAGTGCAAGTATAATTTTTTCATCCTTTGATTTTTTAATATATAGTAAAATTGTGATTTATGACTTTTTAAAGATTTTAAAGTTTATGGATTTCTCTTTCTTTTGTAACAATTAGTGGTTTAAAGAACCCCTTTTTCATTTAAACATAAAGTTTGCCTTAACAATAACACATTTACAATAAAAGTTTATCAATTATTGTCAAATTCACTCCTTAATATTTATTTCAAATTTACTTAAATTTAAATATCTTATAACGTCACATTTTAGTAGAAATATGATTAAATGATTCATTTGTAGGGTGTGCTAATGTGTACCGAAACCGTATTACTATTAGAATGGATTTATGTTTAATGAAATCTACCGTCACGCGTATATTCTGGAATATTCAGCTGTATATCGGTTTATTCTAAAAAGTACCTAAAATTATGTAAATATTTATGTATTTTTTTTTAAATGTAGAACTTGAAAGTTTATCCAAAATCCAATAAAAGTATAAAAAATATAATTTAAAAAAATAATAAATCACAATGAATACTATCACTATAATCACTAGGGATGGGATTTTAGTTATTTTTTTCTCTTTTTTCAACCGATGTAACTATTTGAAAACCAAGTATGCCAAAATGTGTCTTAAAGTATTTTCTTTTATATGAACCTAACTTGTTTTTACCTTTTTTACCTTTTTTGGAGGTTTTTGCTTTAAACTACCTTTTTTATACTTTTGTTACCTATTTTTTTAACTTGTTTTTAGAGATGGGAAAATTCCCATTTGACGAAAATTCCCGGAAACTTTCCATCGAAAATTCCCGAAATTTTCCGAAAGTTTCAAAAAAAAAATTTTTTTGAGAAAATATTTTTTTTATGCCAGGGATTTGCAAAAATATATAACACATTAACTTTTTGTCAAATTTTATTAAGAAAAAAAATAAAAAAAAATGTTTATAAGAATGTAACTGCAATACTATTTTTAGTATCTTTTACTTTGGAATATTCCTATTGTATACTGAAACCTACAAAATAAAAATAAAATGTTTACTATTAGAAATTCACTGCTAGTAAATCCTAGATATTACGTAAAAAAAATTAAAAGGGACAAAGTAACTAATATATAGAAATATTGAAAAGTAAAAAGTAAAGTAAAAAATAATTCCAAACACTAGATTTTTCTTTGGCATTGTGCTATGCCTATAAATAAACAACAAAAATGTAAGAATGATTTTAACTTTGTTTATTGTTTTTATTTTGTTTACCTTTTTTTTTTAAGTTTTTTGTGATGATGCTGAATAATCCGGCTTCATTGAGGTTATGTAACATAACTTACACACAAAACTAGTTTTGTGAACTTACATTATTTATACTTCTTCTTCTGCTTTACACACATTAAATTCTTATTCAAAGTTTCTTGGCCTTGTATCATGGCCTTAACGAAAAGCAGCGGTTAAACAATTGACATTTAAATGAAAAAAACAAGGAAAGTTTCCAAGGAATGTTTCCAAGGAATGTTTCCGGTAGCTTAAAAGAAACTTTCAAAATGAAAATAAATTCCCAACTGGAAACTTTCCAAAACGGAAAGTTTCCTTAAAATGGAAACTTTCCGATTCCCATCTCTACTTGTTTTCACCTTTTTTACCTTTTTGGAGGTTTTTGCTTTAAACTACCTTTTTATACTTTTGTTACATATTTTTTAATTTGTCAGTTTATTTTCACCTATTTGTTACCTATTTTTACGTATTTATACATATTTTATTTTTTTGTGTTTTTTTAAATGTTGCGCCAATATTTTATCCAGGCGTGCAACTCAACGGTATAGAATTTTTTTTATACCTTCTTTGTAGTGAGCTAATGTTCTGTCATAGAACTTCTGTGTAGTGAGTGTCACTCAGTGAAACACAGTTTATTGCATAGAAATAGTTTATTGTGGGTATGTTCTGTGTTTGGGTATGCGGCTAAACAAAATTTTAAACGAAACTTGAACTTTTAATGTTTTTTTTTACCTAATATGCTTTTTTTAGTACCTTTTTAATTACCTATTTTTCAGTTTTTAGTACCTAAATATCCCATCTTTAATAATCACACACAAGCGATCACCCATAAAATCAGATTTTCCTGAACGACTAGACGGATACATTAATTCTCAGTACTATTATTGATAAAGGTAAAAAAATGAATAAGGTTTAGTACATTTTTGGAAATCAGCAGATTTTATATTGATAATAAACATTTTCCATTCTGTTGACTCTCAATAAATAGTTTTTGTTATTTATCTTTGCTAAGTATTGAATGATTTTGAGTCATAGTATACTTCGTAGCCAATTTTGTATCCTTCTCATGGCCGGAAAAGATCTCTCACGAGATGCTGAGCTTATTGGCAATAAAAGTGCAATTTTAAAAAGTTTGTATTAATTTACTTAAGTTTCAATATTGATCTCTTTTTTTATGTTGTTTTTTTATGACGACCATTTCAGCTTTTTAAATATCCTGCAGTATATATGGTAGCATAATGATTAACGAAGCAAGAACTACCATCAAAATCAAATTTTATAAAATTGTCAATAGCCATTTGGCCATTTCTTGACTTTCTGAGAAAAATCTTTCTTTTAAATCATTGCGTCGAGTATAGCATAATAAGTTTTTAAGCGCAAAGTATTCTTAGGTATTTTAAATTTCTCCTTGGTTTCAGAATTATAATAATATAGAAAAAAAATAAAATAAAATGTTGGAGGTGCTAATTTTATTTTTGGGGGTGCTCCTAACTCCACCTATGCCAATGAGTCCAAAAAAAACTGATTATAGATAGTGCCTATATTATACATAGTAGGTACCTGTACTCCAGTTGTGAGATCACACGAAATCATGCGAAATTGGGAGGAGCTACGCAAAATCGTACGAAAGTTTACAAAAGCGTATTCTCGAAATAAGGGATTGATCATTTGTGATTTTTTCGGGCGAAGTGAACATCGCTTGGTCGGAAGTAGACGAACGTGTGAATATTAGACAATCGCCACATAAATATAACCTTAAAAGTAAATGCCATATTATAGTGTCTTATTTGTTATTTTTAAACAATGAATTTTGACGAAATTGTATTAAACT